TTCCCAGGGGCGGGGTTTATCTGGGTTTGTGACATCACGAACCCGGGAAGTAACTCGTTGTAGTCCCTACGAGCCGTTTTTGTAGGCATTAAACTGCCAGAAAAAAAAAAAACGATATCTCCGTTTTCATTGAACTTTCAGCTTCGTAACTTTGCAGATATTGTTTATGCTCAAACAGCAACATTACACACTGACTAAGGTTAAAAAAGTGAAATCCCAATCAACCACCCCTTTAATGTTTCCCTCTACTGTTTTCTAGGTGGAATTGTTGGAATTGCTGTTTTTACTTCTATCAGGCACAAGTGTATCACTATAATGTTATTGTATTTATTTATTTATTTATTTATCATACTGGCACTGCACCTTTCTAACCATTTATACTGGCAAAACGTTACCATGTATGCTTAAAGTTAAACTTCACCCAAAACTGAAAATTCTGTAAAAATTTCTGTCATGTTGATCCAAACTGATCAGACTTTAGTTAATCTTAAAAATACATATTAAGATATTTTTAAATGAAACATGAGAGGTTTCTGTCCCGCCATAAAAAGGCGTCTATATTTGTCTATATTTGATCCATGAGTGGATGACAAAATAACCCAAATTGGGTTAATTTAAACCCAACATTTTATTAACACTTTTCAGGCTTCAGGCAGTTTTGTAAATTTTACAAGCCAGCAGATGGCCCTGTTGTCAATACTCTGAAGTATGTGACACTGCACATTCACATGATGTGGTACTTCATTGTACCATGCCAGGGTGATGCTGTAGCAACATAGTGTTAGGGGTGGGGAGCAACCATGGTTAAAGAAAACGTTAAAACATAAAAATAAAAGACAGAAACGCATACTTATTTCAGAGTGAATTTAATTCAAAGATTAAGATATACAAAGATGGTGCACTCAAAAATGCAAAGGAAAATAGAAAAAGGAAAATGAATAGTTCCGCTTTCTAAATAAAAGAGCCAATCACTAATTGGTAAAGTCATTGCATCACTGCAGCTGCTGTTAGAAGCTCTGCTTGCTATAGAATTGGATGCTTCCTCATAGGAGCTGTACTTGCATGACTGAAATAGCTGTCTGAGAGGCATTTCAAAGTTGGATGACTTGCCTTAAAGGGACTTTAACTTAATTACAGATATTTAGGAAAATGAACTTGTAAAGGACCAACCAGAATTAATAAACAGTTAGTTATTAGCTATGATGGATTTGATCCAGCTAGTGTAGCGGCACACCTCAACATAAACCCCAGGAAAGTCTGGTTCAGCGCAGCCTTTGCCAAAGGAAACGACACCTTTCAGTTTCCCGCTGCACACTACAGGGCCACCTGAATCCCCCTGAGAAGAAAATTGGAAAGTGAAAAGGAAAAACGTGCATTTGTATGTAAATTTCAAACACATATAAAAAAGGAAGAAATCAATTACATACCTGGCATGAGTCTTTCCCTCCCTCCATGAATCCAGCGCAGAACATGTTTTTAGTTATTATTGTACCATACGCACTCTTACACCGCTCCTTTGAGAGTACAGGCATATCCAAACACTGCAGGACAGAAGCAGAGCCAGCTGGAAAGAGAATATGAGCAGCGTTAAATCTTTTCATCTTCTACAGATCTAATGGTTGCATGCAGGGTTGACGCAAGCATGGAGCGAGGCCCAGTGTGAGTTAGTGCATGTGAGGCCCCATCATGCATCAAGCTCGGAATCTTTTGTCAAAAAGGATGCTAACTAAAAGTTTTATATTAAAATATATATAGAAAATGTTAATACAAAATAAAATAAGTTTTAATATAAGTTTTATTTTAAAGTATATATAGAAGAATTTCATTACTCAGCCATCTCACCTTCAGTTCTGCCCCATCCAGAAACCAAGCACTTCTCCCCTGCAGAGGAGCATTTGGTTGCCAGAGGGACTGGCTTCACATACTCGTTGAAGGTGGCAGGTTTTCTCAGCTTGATCAGCAGGATATCATTGTTATGAGGCTGATCATTGTATTTCGGGTAAGGAATGATCTTCTCTACTCTGATCCTCTGCTCTGTGTTTTCAGCAGCATGCAATTTGTGCTTTCCCAGCAGGATGCGGAGACGATTACGTCTGTTTGACAAGCAACTCATAAATGTACAAATACATTTCAAACTAAAATATTCCAAAGTAGAGCTGGATCCCAGTGTTCAATAGACTAGTTAATGGAACTGAAAGGTACTCTATAGTGAAAAATAAGATTGATGAAGTAACATGATTAAAAAAGTGAAGTTATATACTCACGAGAATGTGCAGTGAGCAGCAGACACAACCCAACTTTCATTAATCAAAGATCCTCCACATGCAATTCTATTATCGCTAAGGTAAGCTTGCCAGGGCTGGGAGTGGGGCTGACATTCATAACCTCCAATGATTTTATCTCCTGAGCTGAAAGCTTTATAAAAATGTATTGTTCTTTTATTAACAGTAATGTTAAAAACTATCTATAATACAGGTCAGCGTAGGTATAAACTAACAATTGTCGATTGTCATGTTATTTCAATAGTCCACTAGACATTCTACTAATTATAAGTAACTTTGCAACTAACTAACTAAATATTAGAATATCTGTAGACTGTTAGGTTAGGGTTAGATTTAGTAGAATGAGTTGACTACTCACAAAGATACGTATAGTCTGTTGGAGGACTATCAAAATAAAGTGTTAGCAGCAGACAGTCTACTAATACTAATGACTGCTAGTTGCAAACTTACTTATAGTTAGTAGAATGTCTAAAGTGGACTATCAAAATAAAGTGCTACCAGAATAACTGATAAGAGAGATCTACATACCCACAACCACAACCAGTAGAATGAACACAGTGGTCTTCATTGCAATTGAGGAGAGGAGAGAGCACATCTGTTAAGTCCAGGAATAGCATTCATGTTTTTAAGCAATCGATTTAACACTGACACCTACAGAACAACCAATAAGATCGCGACTAATGATTGCGAAACAAAAATAAGCACGTGGGACAACAATTTTTACCCACTTTTTTACACAGTTTTGCATGGGAATGATAAATGCAAGTGTTGACTTGGTATAAATCTTAGACAAAAACAGAAGTTTTACAACTTAAACATTTTACTATGTATGTTTACTTGTTTATGGTTTAATAAATACACAAGAAAAAAAAAATCTACAGGGTTCCAACATATTTTCCATATCATAAATTCTTTTCCAGACTTAAATTTACAGACTTCTCTGTAAATTTTGTTCAGGCTGTATTTCATAGTAAAAAACAAATAATAAAGGGTGTAAGAATGAAAGGTTAAATTCACAATACTGAATTCACAATTTAAAACTGTTGTTGTCAACCAAATTCAATAGCTGGTACCTACCAGTAAAATTTTACTGTTTTTCGTACCATAGCAAACACTACTGGGACTATTTAATATTTGAAATGTATATACGTATTTTAGCACACCATGGTGACTACGAACATGAAATTGTCCAGCCATGGCTTCCTGTTTCACAGGAAAATATATATGAGGGAAAACACATCACAATGAGAAAAACAAAGAATATAGCTCTGATGTGCAGTTCTTGTAGAAAGAAAGAAGAAGGAAGTTACTCCAGTCTAGAGGAAGTGGTTTGATGTAAGTGAATAAGATATTCTGCCTTCTGGTGAATGTGGTTGACAAAAATGGTCTTGCTGAAGTGTGAGTAGACCAGCTCTTTGTATGTAAGCAGCGTTGTGAAGACAAGCATTATTTTCGCTTGTTTATATCTACATTCTCAAATTCTCAAATAACTGCCATGATGACTTTTGTTCTACCCACTTAAATAGAAGTATTTGCGCTGTCCAATCTATAAAGACTGTGTCTGTTCCCCGAATAGTGAGGTCAAAATATAAATTTAATGCAGAATCTAGAAAAAAATCTGATCGTGATTAAACCAGACAAATGTAAAATAAATGAACAAAAACAATTTTTAAAGTTTGGGCTCCTAAACATTAGATCACTCTCACCCAAAGCAGTCATTGTAAATGAAATGATCACAGATAATAGCTTTGATGTACTCTGCTTGACT